ATAATTTATAAATCAATTTTTTTTGTTAAGAAATTTGACATGAAAAATTAGTAAAGTACGAAAAATTATTTTTGTTTATATATGTTATGCAATTTGAATATTTGATTGGTTATATGACTTATTATGGGCTGTTATATATATTAAATATAAATTATATTATATCTATTAAAATATTATTTAATATCAAAACGTGTCCCAATATGTCAAAATGTGATATTTTTTATTTTTTTTTATAACAAAAATGTGATATTTTTTAGAATTAGCGTATCAACGTGTCGTATTATGTCATGTTCTGTGTCCCATGTCAGTGTCGATGCAAGATAGCTTTGAACAAAATTAGTCACGAATTAAATCAGGACAAATTTTATAGCTAAATTATGATTAGAGAATGTGATGATATTTACGCACATATAAGGAGAGAATGTAATATCGGGAAAGGTGTAAAAGGAGATGATAAGGAGAGAAAAGAACAATGACCGTGGAATAAATTTTGATAATTGCATTAGAGAAAAATGTATCTAATGTTATTTTAGATAATTTTATCTAATATTCATCAAAACAACATCGTTTTGAGATTGGAAAATTTAAAAATTATAATGATAAAGATTATTATAATCCTGAAATAAATTAAAATTACAAATACATCCTGATTCCTGTTCCAAAACGACATCATTTTGGTTAACATTAGACAAAATTATTTAAAATAACTTTAGAAAAAACGATTGCATTATGGTAATGTCTCAATTTAACTATTTCTAAAGATAATGGACATCTCATCTGTTATTTAACACAACTATATCATGTAAGATGATTTTAATCATTAATGAGCAAATCTACGGTAATGATTTTGTATCCTTCTATCTCAATTTTTTTTTTCTATCACATCATGTTATCATTAATTCATCCTTATATGGTTACAATTCTTCAACATAACATAATCAATCATATTAAATAATACATGAAAAGATCCACTTTCGTTATTAAATTAGTACAGGGCACATGAGAGTTTTACTTAAGGGTGTGCTAAATAGGGATATTTACTCGCGACACGACACGAAAAATTCATGTTTGAGTAAATCTGTAAAAAAAAATTGTGTTGTGTCAAAATGAATTCAAACCATATTTTTTTTATTTTATCCCATTTCATTAAAAAATTTATCAATTACTATTTTAACCCATAATTTGCATGTCATATCATGTCATCGTATATTCGTATCATATTAAACTTATGTCGTGTCGACTCGTTTTGACACCTCGTGCAAAACTAATCCCACATAAATGGGATGCAGGACTTACTGCATCATTTTAATAAAATATTTCAAATTTTGATAATTCTTAAAGAGACATCACAACTAGGGGTGAAAGTGGGTCGGGCCAACCTACGACCTAGCTTATATCAGGTCGGGTTTGGCCTATTACATATAGTCAAATAGAACAGGCCCGGGCTTTTAAAGAAGTCTATTTAGAAAATAGGCATTTTTTTTACATGTCGGGCCTATAAGTCTACATGCCGGCCTATATCATATTATTTATTTTAAATAAAATAAAATAATATCATTCATAGTAGTACCAAATGGCGATAGTTCAATTGGTGCATGTGAGCTAAGTAGGTGGTGGAAAGACCTAGGTTCATTCCCTTATGAATACTATCTTTGAGAGTTGCATAAGATCTGTACCAATTTCTACAGTACCATAAAAATCAACATTATTGATGCCTATAGTTCTAGCTTGACTCATTCCGGCACCATCCATGCTCTGATGTCCATTCCAGCACTGTCTCTTTATCAGCTCTTCAGACTGATGGTCATTCCAGTTGATTTGTTGTACTTAGTCATTTCATTCCGTCCATGTTGCTGATGGTCATTCCAGCACAATTGTCTTTGCCGAGGATAATTCCGGCACTGTTTAGAAGTTCCTCTTGAGGGGGAGCACTGTCCATGTTGCTGATGGTCATTCCAGCACAATTGTCTTTGCCGATGATAATTCCGGCACTGTTTAGAAGTTCCTCTTGAAGGGGAGCACCGTCCATGTTGCTGATGGTCATTCCAGCACAATTGTCTTTGCCGATGATCATTCCGGCACCATCCATGCTCTGATGTCCATTCCAGCACTGTCTCTTTATCAGCTCTTCAGACTGATGGTCATTCCAGTTGATTTGTTGTACTTAGTCATTTCATTTCGTTGATGTAGCATTGTTGTTTTTGGTTCCTAATGGGAGTATTATTTATGTATCAAGCTTGTAGCATATGATCTATATGCTACAGCTCGAGGGGGAGTGTTAAGAGTGTTAGTGTTAATAGTGTAGAAGTCTCACATTGAGTGTGTCTCTTTGTATTCTTCAATTGGTTTGCTATATAATAGCACCAATGTTGTGTAGTTTAATACAACAAGGATTACTATCATTTCCTCTTGTATCTATGATATTTAACAAGTGTTAATATATGACGGAGATTGGCTACGTAATAGGTATGACTTAAGAAAAAACAAAAAGTATAAATTTAATCAACTGAAATTATTTTATAATTTAATTATATTCGATTAAATTTTAATAGAAATTTGGCTTTATTTTTTATGTGAAATTGCCTATATGAATCTATTAAAACATTTTTTGTTTCTTAATCTTATTTTTTTTTGTTTCTATTCTTTATTCTTGTTTCTATTCTTTATTCTTGTTTTTTCTTTTCTACACTTACAAATTGTTTACCAACTTATGTAATCTTGGAATTATATTTGTACGGGAGAGAAAATGAAGAGAATTTTTTGGCTACTACAAGCATCATGATGTGTTTGTTGAATTTATGTAGTTATTTTAATTTACATAGTATATATTTGTTTGTTGGATCTGATTAAATATATGTTATTTAGTTTGAGTATTTTACTTTTGAAAGTGATTTAGATACAGATTGTGATGAGTTTTGTTGTGATTTATGGTTCTGTTTGGACGTTGAAATTGTGATTTTTGTTTTAGCAACAGAATTTGAGTTGAGTATTTTGTGAAGATGATTCATGATTCTGCTTGAAGTTAAAAATTAATAGGCTAACGGACCAAGTCAGACCATTTGTTTATAAACGAGCCAAATCAGACTAACAGTTAGACTCATACTAGGCTCGGGCCAGACTAAATTGAAATTTTTTGGTATAGGCTTGGACTTTTCGGGACAAAGCTCAGCCTAGTCCACTTTCACCCCTAATCACAACGATCACTTTGTTTTTTTTTTTTTTAGTATTAATGAGGGGCTCAAGCCCAGAAAAACAAACAAACTACATCACAATAGTATCTTCCTCTACAAAGGGTCCCAAACCAAGGGGAACACTATTAAAAACCACAAAATTTTCGTAAAAATGAAAAGCAGACTTCGCAATCCAGTCTGCGCAAGAATTCCCCTCTCTTCGAACGTGAAGAAGAACTACATGCCAGTCTTTCTCCAACCAGTTCTGGATAGAGCTGTTCAAGGACGAGCAAACACTATCATCTCTCCTGTCAATAAGAGACTGGATGGCCTAAAGCGAGTCACTTTCAACTATGAGGTTCTGGGCCTTCTTATTCCAAGAAAACTGGAGTCTCTTGAGGATCCCCCACAGCTTTGCTGTTAGCGAATCACAGCTGCCAATGTTATAGATGAAACCAGAGATCCATCTACCGTGGTCATCCCTAATGAGCCCCCCACACGAGGCTTGGCAGGGGTTGTTCTTCGTAGCAGCATCTACATTGAGCTTCCACCAACCAGTTGGTGGAGGTTTCCACTTTACCTGGCTCCTCTCCACAAGGGTTGTTCTGCAGGAGCTCTTCTTTTCAGCAGCATTCCTTATTTCCATAATGTAGTTCATGATGAAGATGGAAGGGTTGGCAGGTCTGACAAAGTGGGCTTCATGGATCTCTTTGTTTCTCCAGCTCCATAAGAACCAGGTGGTAGTGATGAAGATGTCTTGCCAATCAAAGGGTTGCGCATGAGGCCACCCCTTTGTCACGTTCTTGCGGATCCACTCTTCCTGTTGCAACAGTAAGAAATCGTTGGGAATATTGCCAGAGAACCAGAATTTCCAAACCTGGATCGATATTTTACGGTCACGAAGAACATGCAAAATATCTTCTACTTCAATTAGGCACGTATGACAAAGAGGGGACCCTCCCCATTTAGTTATGACGTCTCTGGTAAGAATTCGGCCATGTAGAATAAGCCAGACAAATTGGCGAAGGCGTTGAGGGCCATTCCATTTCTAAATAGTGCCCCAAATATGATCTCTGGTAATAGATTCGAAACCCATGATAGAATGATAAGCATTTTTAACTATGCTCTTGGTCTTCGAATTGTTCCTCCAGCCTAAGAGATCTGCTCCCCTGTCTGCCGAAGGAGGAATGACAGCCCTGATGTGATTTACAATTTCTATAGGCAGCAAACTTTGGAGGAATTCCTGCTGCCAGCCCCCGGTGCTTAAGTTCACCATATCTGCCACCTTGATCTCCAAGCTCGCAGTGGGAATAACAGAAAGGCAGTAGTCTCTGATGGGAGATCATCTTGTATGCGGCAGTACTACGTTCATCTGCATTTAAGAAATTGACAAGTGGATTAAAAGTTACTTTTTTTTCTTGATCCGTACTGCCAACACAGCTACTGCTCCATTTTCATTGGCACCCAATCAATGGTGCGGCAGTAGCACAATAGAAATTTCGCTCTGATGGGGAGTTCTAGCTCTGTCCACCTGTCCGTCCAAAAGTTAATATCTTCCCCATTGTTCATTTTGTGACCGTACGATCACTTTGTTTTAGTACAAGAATGACATGACTTTTATTTATCTTTTGCCTCTACTCCAATAAGACCCACAGAACCGAAAACAATAACCCTCATCTTATGAGACTCACAATAATTCATTTGTCTCGTTTAGTTGCTCTGTCCTTCGCAAGTCGTAACACATTTCGTAGAAAAAAATATTCAACATTTTTCCAACAGTTTCGCTTGACGTACAAAAATAAAAGCCAGATCAAATATAATCCAGAGAACTGCATAAAGATATATACACAAATGAATTAGAATTTGTGATTCAGGTTTCCATTTACAAAGTAAGATGACTATCATTACAAACAATCAAATTTAGAATCATCTGTGCAACCCGACGGGAAAAAAAATTGCTCCACTGGTTCTCCCTTCCTAACCAAGGAAATTCAGCAACACCTAATTGAAGGGCACGCAGAAAACACTAGGATTGCACTCTTATCTTCAGGGGGAAATGAAAAGCATGCACGAACCCCTTTTAATCTGGAACTCTTGCACCATAGTTCTAGACACACCAATCATGAAAGAGTAGATATCAGCATCTCATGAACCAAGATTCAAATATATGGACTTGTTATAGATCTACGAGACCTATCATAGTATTCTGAATCACTTTATTCTATGCATCAAGGCCTTTCAAAATCAAACTCCATGCCCTGTTCTTTCTTTTAGATGTTTGGAAATTATCTGTCCGCTATTATGAATTAAACTCAAATCCATAATGCATAATCATCAACTCACGCAGTTAGACAACAATCTAAAAAAGAAGAACAATACTGATTAGATAACTATCAATCAACAGAACTCAATCATTTACATAGTTTTAACAACACCTATGTTGCACTCATGATCAACATTGTCCTCACTTATTACCTTTCTCTTTTTGTTTCTTTCCCACTGCTGCACAGCATCCTTTTCACATTCTTCTGAAATATATTTAAGCTTTGAAAAGAAATAAAGTAAATAAGCTATACAAGGTTACCTCTTTCTTTCTTAGCAGATGGTGTTTTTCACAGAGCCTTAAGTTTTAAGGAACATGTGTGCCTTTTCAAGTCCTAAAGTCTAATCTACACATGGGCCAAAGCTGAAGAGGGTAAACTACAAATTACCCTAATTCACGATATTTCTATCAATCATATTTCCTTTCCCTTTCATATTCATGACATCTAATAAAAACTCTTCCCCATTAAATCTCCACTTGCGAGAGTAAGGGTATAAGTCTTACCCTTGTACTTTTTGCAAAAAAAATGTTTCTTGGATTCAACCCATAACTTTCAATCACATGAGCAATTTTACCATTGCTCGAGGCTTGCCCTCTTTCGTGACATCTAGTAGGATGTGTAAAATCTTCAGTTCTATCAAGAATAGTTGACTGACCATTCATCTAATCCATATTTTATTGCACAGACATTCAGTTCCTACAAAGTACATCCAAAACTTAAAAGAAACATTCAGGAACTACTGCAGAAATCTCCAATTCAATAAAACACGAAGACATTTAGGATATATATAGAGAGAGAGTTGGACCTTTCATTTCAATAAAGGTGCATACGGAGCAGGGCATGGAGATACACTGTGGTCTGGTAGCTGGTTAATGAAATCAATGGTTGCCTGCAAACAAGCATGAAGCATTTTCTTTTCCAGTCTAACAAATTGAGTAGCGACTCGCTTCTTTGGATTCAGATTACCATCTGCCAGCTAATGTAATATATAAATTATCAATGAAAAGTTCATAAGTCTTAGATTACAATATAATCAACTTCAAATTCGACCAAGCAGTACCATAGACTCGTCTTCAGCCAAGGTAGTAGGGTAGCCAGCCAGCCGAGTCTTGAAATAATCAGCAAGCTGGTCCAACACGGCCCGTTCCATACAAGGGCTCACCTAAAATGTAAAGTGGAGTCAACTTTTTCAGATCACAAGAATTACTCCCTGTTCAATTAGATAAGACCAAATTAAAATAAAATAAAATCATATGTTTTAGTTTATCAAAGTATTTTATGATCAGAGCCCCAAGTCAAAAAAGAAAAATATAAAAAAGCCAAGCGGACAGGACATCAAGAGAAATTGATTTTACTTATATCCAGGTCAGATACTTGATTTTGACCTTTGGCATTCTTAAAATTACTCAAAATTCAAATAAGGAAAGCACAAGATGAAAAAACTTACAGGACAAACTGGACCTTGAGAGGAGATGACAGATTCCATCTCAGAAGGATCTGAAACATAGCCCAGACGCAGATAAGGAATCATATCTGAGACAGCTTCCCTTTCCTTCCCAACATGCACCTGCATCAAGGTTGAACAAAGGAGTTAATGAGAAGAATCACTATATAACCTTCAACAGCATCAAGAGTTCAGTATTAATACCTGAAAAGCTTGAATTGATAACTTTCCATTCCTTTGAGCAACCATTCTTTTATCTTGATATTGTGGATCTTCAGTATTCAAAGCTGCCTGGGATAGATGTATCACCAAGGTTATATTTCAAACAACAAAATACTGGCTACCAAAAAAGTAAATGTCCACCCTATACCTCAACTATTAGACGATCAAAGGAATTATCTTCATCAACAAAACCATAGTTTATGAGTAACTTTGAGTTAGGCTGAGGACCACACCTGAAAATGACCAACTGTATATCTTATAATGAAGCTACTACTACAGAAACAAAGTCAATGCCAAACTACCAGAAATATATGTCAAATGAAGCATATATTATACCAGACAACAATTGGGTCCCCAGCTTTATATGGGCGATCAACCACAAGCTCAATAGCACCCTCAACAGCAGTCAACATTGCCTTGCAGTTGCTTCGGTAGGCCAGCAAAGGAGGTCCCAGGGGAACCAAAGCAAATCTCCGGGCTAAACTAACTTTCTGATTTCAAAAAGGACAAACAATCAATTTTCACCCCAAGTAGAAACAGGATAAAAAGGGGGGAGGTTAACAACTGCTGTTGTCCAGAAAAAAGAGCAATGAGCTCCCACCAAACATAATTAATGCCAGAAACAGAACACTATATCAATCAATAAGAAGTCTAGCATGAAAGCTCAATCACAGAATGTACTCGCAAGTGGCAACAACTATCCTATGATTGCAAGGAAATTAGTGCATTATGTAAAAGTTAGTAATAAGAGCTTTAACTATATTTATGTAAGCTGAAAAATCATGAACATCCTGTAGTCACAATAGTAAAATTTTCTATTTAAATTAGCTTCAGTTATGACCACTTCATCTAACAAATCCAACAATCAATTAAAATATACTTGCATAATAGATTAATAAATTTTAATGTAAAGCTCAGTGGCCTGATATTTGATTATATGTGACATGTTCATTGACGTAGAACTAATATAGACATAAAAAGAATGGCAAGCAGTTTAGTTTGGAATTGTTTGTGCATACTTTACTAGCTGTATAGATATGTACCAGATAAGAAGGAAACTTTACCTGTAAATGTACCACGCATGACTGAACTGCAGCAAAGGCTTGTAAGAAAATCTCAAATGGAAAAGCCTCAGTAGGAATGTCATATGGGTATTGCTGCATTATGCATATAATGTAAGCACTAAATGTCGTAATGTAAATAACTATTGTACCTATTCCTAGTGCATGTTTTATTACCTTAAACAGGGAACCAGCCATAAACCAGACGGTGTCAAGTTCATTATACTCTCTTTTTATTCCTTCAATCCTTTGAATAAGTTCAGCCTAAATCACAACCACCAGAATTTAGTCTGGATATATTTGAAAAACATCAAGCATTAAACCAACCTAATGTTATCACTTCATACCACATCATCAATCAGGAGAGAGAGAGGTAAAGAGAGAGAGAGAGAGAGATGAGGAAAACCTTTAATGGACTTCCTGCAAGGTAATCCAGCTCAGATTCTGACCATAGAAGAGGTGATTCCACCGCCAGCTGGCCCCTACCTCGTTGACGATCAAGCTCCCTGATGTATGGATACCAGAAAGACTTCTTCCCCTGTTTTTTCTCATACATCAGATACAATGCCAAGCATGCCAATTCGGAGAATTTGTTTGTGGTCAATAGCTCAGCTGCAATAAGGATAAAGCACAAGATATAAATTCAAAAGTTAAAATGCTTCAATAAGCCTCCTATCCATAGATACCTAACTTGTATTATACCTGAACACACAATGACACATATCATTTCAATCCAAGTAGAAACATGGACGCAAACCACCCTTTTTGTGGTCCTATAAATGGATTCAAGGTTAGGCGTTTGCAAAATTCATTTCCATAAATATGCATGTTTTGTCGCCCCAAATACCCGAACCTCTTCCATACAGTTTCTAATGCCCTCGTGACAGTAAACAAGATTAACCACAGGAATGTGCCATTCCGCCATCAAAATATTCATCATCTAATCTAATATAATAATCAAGCTCCTGAAATCTCCTTTATATCTAAGATCTTTCAAATCAATATGCCACCTTAATGGACAAGTTCAAACCATATCAGCCATGAAATGCTAAAACCAACCAACGTTATTATTTTTTTTCCTGCTTAAAAAACAAAAAAGTCTTGCTCACCAATGCCTGAAAAAGCATTAATACCCTTTACTAAATTCTCATAATAATTTTAGAGAAAGGTTAAAATATATTTTGGTCCTTGCATGTGACACTCATTTTCAATTTGGTCCCAATAAAAGAGCTACCTAGTGCTATAGAGCTCCCACTATGCACAGGGTCAGGAAAGGGTCTATGATTGAACATGTGACCTCTGGTCACATGACCACAAGTGACAAAACCGTATAAAAATTCAATTTAACCCCTCTATGTATAATTATTTTTGATTTGATCTTTTTTATATGTTACTATTTAACACCATCTATAGGAGTTATAACAACATAAAATTTAAAGACTAAAATGAAAATGAGCATTACAAATAGGGATTATAAATACCATATTTTCTATCCTTATATCTGATGAAGTAAAACTGTTTGTTGGTGACTGAGAGATCATATGTTCGAATTTAGGAAATAATCTCTTTGCAAAAATATAAAGGTAAGGCTTGCTCACCCCCCTTGCCCTCGCAAATCAGTGTTTCATGGGGAATGATTTTTTTTTTTTATTTAGTCCTTCTACGAGATGAGGGCGAGCCTAGGAGCAAGGGTAAGGTTACTCTTTGTGACCGAAAGGTTACAGGTTAGAGGTTAGGAAACAATCGACCCTCGCTATTTCGGCAAAGTCGAGAAGTCTTATGCATCGGGGTTTGCCCTTTTCTTAGTCCTTCTATAGGGTAGTCATTTCTAATTTGGTCTGTGTAATTTACATTTAAGTTTATGTCAATGATAAAGTTGAAAATGATTTTACATAAAGAGATCAAATTAAAATTATTTTGAATAGGAACCAAATTAAAAATGAGTGAGACACATATAAGCACTAAAATTATACGTTAATCACAATTGAATATTAAATGCTTTTTTCCTTTTCAAGCTATTTTATTCCTAATGGCACGGCACATGTTAGCAAATTAGTAAACTAAAAAAGGACAAAAAAATATGCAATTTGCATCCTATAGTAATAGAAACAAGCACAAGACATAACCAAAAGAATCAGAAGCATAGCATAATTACCAACAGTTTCGTTTCCCAAGACCCTCTCTAGAGTGACAACCAAAGAAATTGGAACAGATAATGCAACATCGCCCACCTGCAAGGAAGACAACACAAAGAAAGCATCACAAAACCAACTACAGAAAACAATCACATATCAATAAACAACAAACAAAACAAAAAAAATTGAAAAACCCATGAACTATTTTCCAGGTTTTACGAATGAATTGAATGAACCTGAAGATCTTGACTTGCAGCAACATAATGTATAGGCTTATGGGTACCATTGTGAGAAGCCCTTTCCTTCAGGACAACCTTACATGGAGGGAGGCCATGCTTGTGCATCCAAGATTTCAAGTCACCTTCCTCCTCCTCCTCCTCGTCGTGCATCTTTCCGGCGGCAACGACGACGGCATCCCCGGCGGTGAGCAAGGTATCGGGGTTGGAGGCGGAACAGTAACTCCTCCGACGGAGGGAATGGCGGTGGCGGTGGTGGTTGTTCTTGCGGAGGGAGAGTGCGAAGAATGTGGATAACGCCGGCGGAGAAGAATAGCGAATTGGAAGGGAGAAGAAGCGCTTGTCTGAAACTGAGAGACGCGAAACTTCCATAGGATTAGGGTTTGGGGAATTGGGAAATTGCAAAATCAGTTTCAGAGCAAAAAGAAGAAGTGTGTTGTTGATTTTGGCTACAGAGATATTTTGGAGTGTTGTGAGTAGTTAGTGTGCACTGTGTGTGTTAGCTGAAGGATAAGAAAAAGAGTGATAGATGAGTTGGATGGAGGGAAACAAAAATCTAGGTGTTCATTTCCCCAATTATTTACACTATTCAAGTCAGGACTCAGAATTGCATGACCATTGTTTTCCCCCAAATAGTGCCTTTTACTTATTCCGATTCTAAGTAAAAGTTTTCAACGAAGTTAATCAAGGTGTATAAGTTGCTTAATAAATTAATAGTTTATTTTCAGATTATGATTATCTGTATGTCATACTTTATATTTATTTACAGGTTATAATTATTTATTTTTATCTTTAGATGATTATTATTTCTCGTATTTAATGTGAAAGTATTAAATATGAAAAATCATAATCATATAAAGATAAAAATAAATATAACAATTTGATCAATATAAGCGATCTAACGATGAAATTGATTAATAGTAACACTAATTGGTTGTTACAATATTCTATCCCTTAAAAATAATAATTGATTAATAAATATAATTTAATAAATTGTCGTCGTCGTATAGACAAAATCAATGGTTGAGATGTGAAATAATACTTCTTAATTTGGAGTAAAAAAAAAAAAAATCCTCCTTCTTTTTAGATGTATCTTATTATTTTTTCAAAATTACAAATTTAAGTAACAAAAGTGTATAATTTTCACGAGTTTGTCGTTCATCCATCTCTTGAGTGGTATGAGCTTCTAATTTTTGTCATTCAATTTGTTACTTTTGAAAGCCTATAACTATCGTTACTTACTAGAATGAGAAAAGCTGATGTGCCAAGGCGATAACTTTTATTACTCAATTAATAATATTTTATATAATAAAAATTTAATTTAAAAAAAGATGCATGATTTTTCAAGAAAGCATCGAAGTAAGCCCCTTGGAGTAAATTATTATTTCGACATGGTTTATTATAGGTAATTAAATTATTATTTAACATGTATAAGGTTACCAAGATCGTGATAAAATTATATCTACTACTAAAAAAAGTTTTTATACGTATCAAACAATTAGTTGAGTGCTTAAAAATGATTTAGTTTAAAGTGACTGAGATCAGAATCACACACTTTGCTTCACAAGCTGTGACCAACAACCATTTTAGAAGCTTTCAATAGTTTCAAAGCCTATTACCTCACAAAATTGGTCATTTCTTATTCGGAAATCATGCTCTCCTGTCCTAGGAGAGCAAAAAAATTTCATACACAAATTCATTTTCTATGTTAATTAATTTTTTTTTCTTTTATAATATGAAATGTGGGATCCACATTTAATTTGTCTCTACTTTTTTATCTCATGTTATCCTACAACATAAGAAAATATGAACACTTTCTTATTAGAGAGAACCAAATTATATTAATGGCCATATCTTTATAGAGGTAAGTATATACCGTATTAGTATCTCTATTGAGATCTTATGATATGAACATAATAATTCTAGTTTTGAAGAAGCTGAAAGCTTTTAGAACAAAAAATATGGCACATATAAGAATATAATTGATAAGTTGAAATGAATTACTAGTTAATTAATCAATCTATACACCTTATTAATTAAAAAGTGAGTAATCGTTAATTGGTATAAAAATAAAAATAAAAATCGATTTTAGATATATACGGTAATTTCAACCGAGTAGAATGTTAGTTGTAATATTTTCCTAACTTAGCATTGTGTTTCTTATTGTAAATGGGCTGGAATAATCTGATTTTTGCAAGAAAAGTGGCTCAATTTGCAAAGAATGAGCCTAATAAGGAATGTAGGCTGATAATGGCAATTTTGTAAATATGTAGATATTCTTTGGCCATTTAATTACAGGATACCAATCAAATGGACAACTTTTACTTGGAGTTGTTAGTTTGAAGTCTGAGTCTGAGTTGTAAAGACACTTAGAAAATTTCAATTTTCAAGTTTTTCATTTTCTTTCTAGAATTCTGAAGGAAACAATGAGTACCTATTTCATAATCTAAATTGTTGTGCATGTTCTTGATGTTTGATTAATGAAACTTTCTGGTTTGAGTTCCATGAGAATGGACTTTAACATTTCTTGCATGAACTTGTGTTGGGAAATTTGAGTTTATGAATTTCATTAATTAATCACTCCAATATTAGGGATAATCTGGTGTAGAAATTGATTACACGTCATCAATGAATTGACTCAAGATTAAGGGATTAATTTGACTCAATTTAGAATTGGGTTTGGAAAAATTCAGTTAGGTTCTACCAAAATCAATTTCCACCAAGATAGTTGCTACAACAGTTAAAACACAGACATACAACTTTTAAGGGAAAGTCTTTGAAATCAAAATTCTAGAGTTTTAATCTTGATTCTAAACTGTTTGAACGTGAGTTGAGCACTTTTGATTAGTTTACAACTTTATAAATCTTTTCATCGAAAAGTTAAATATAATCAAGTTCAAGAAGCTGAAGATTAGAATAGATAAAAGAGATAATATCCTTGTTCCCTGTGAATGATACTTGAATTCTTTTTTATTCTATACTTTTTTTTACTAACAAAATGGCGTCATTGCCGGGGAACGATGCTTGATTTAGTTTCTTTTTGAAGTTCTTTCATTTAGTTTCTTGAATTTGTATTCCTGTTACATTTTAATTCTTGACAAGTTCTGAATTTTTTTTTTATTTTTGCAGTTTACTAATTCTAAACACAGAAAAAGAGCATTGTTACATTAGGCCAAATATGATCAACAAAGGAGGCAAAAAAATTAAAATAATGCATTTAAATTAAATAATTACGCATTTAATGTTGTTTTGTAAAAAATTACACATCTGTTGCACAATGAGACGCCACCTTTGGGCGTCACTTTAATTACGCATTTAATGTTGTTTTGTAAAAAATTACACATCTGTTGCACAATGAGACGCCACCTTTGGGCGTCACATGTGACGCCCAAAGGGGGCGTCTCATGTGCAACCTATATATACCCCACTTTTCTTTTTTCACTCCTTACTCATTTACCTCTCTAACCTCTCTCTAACCTCTCTCTAACCGTGGTTCGTAGCGAAGCTCTGCCAACGTAGGTAAGGTCATAATACCTCATATGTATACATTTAAATAACAGTGCTAGTTAGTAATACATGTTAGGATTGATTGTATATTAGAGACTTGGAACATTAGGATAGTCACTTAGAAATTTTGTTGCATGCTATGAATGTTGTAATGATTTAGTAATTTTATTATTACGTAGTTATTATTATTAATTTTTAATTATGAATTAAGGTTTAGCATATTAATTAGTGATTTATAAATAGTGTTAGGGACTTCGTAAATTTCGTATATATGATGTTATTAATGCGGGAGTGCATAACTTTGTAGTTAGTTAGGTGTGATGATTAGTACGTATTGGACAAGTTGGTAGTGACCTAGGGTTAAGTATTCAGTTAGTATTATATTATTTTTGTCCGATGTATTATTATTATTTAATTGCAAATAAAGGGACTTCATAAATTTCGATTCTAGTTAAATAAATGACGCATATGCTTAATTTTTGTGATAATCAATTATGTCACTTCTTACTTAAATTGTAAATAAAATGGGTTGTTACATGTGATTAATTTAAATGTTGTTTTATATTATATAGTTGAGGATAATGGCTGAGTCATCATCTTTATCGGGATCTGAGTCGGATGTAGAGCCCACCGATCCCAGCATGTGGATCATACCTGGGCCGTACAAGTGGGAGGTCCTTCGAAAGAGGACGCAAAAAGCTCATATTTCACAGCGAGTGTGGAATACAGAGCATGTACGAAAAATTAAGACCAGGCGTGGGAAGCCACAAGGGGGGCCACCTACCAGTGCTATTCCACAGGTTGTCGAAGAGTACCTAAGACAGGCGGGATTCATACATGTTGCCAGGATGCAACATATCCAGGTATGTTATTTACGTCATTTTGTATTTATGTAATTATTCAATAAAATTCGTTAACACGTGATAACTGCGTAATTTATCACAGATCGATACATTTTTAATTAGTGCTCCGGTCGAGAGGTGGAGACCAGAGACACATACCTTTCACATGACCTAAGGTGAGATGACGATCACCTTACAAGATGTGGTAGGCATATTGGGCTTGCCGACTGACGGCACTGTCGTCACCGGATCGACCTCCGAGGATTGGCACGCTGCTTGTACTGCTGTTTTTGGACATGTTCCAGAGGCCGGTGAGTTCCATCATTCCGGCGACCTCCGCATCTCATTCTGGGATCGACATTATACCCGGTGGACTGATCATGAGGGGAATCACGCTGCCGAGATCTACTTCACAAAAGCCCATATTGCCCGGATGTTGGGGACTTGGTTGCTGCGGACAAGTCTGGAGGTAGAAATTTTGGTTGCCGGCTTGTCCCGTTACTAGGTGGAGGATTTGAGGACATTGGCCGATTCAGCTGGGGATCTGCGATTTTGACACACTTGTTCAGGAATTTGTGTGAATTGACAGATGCCCGTCGAACTGACATGGGTGGTTGCCATATTCTCCTTCAAATTTGGGCATGGATATGATTCCCACCCATTGCTCCACCCTTTCCTCCTCATCTAGAGCCAGGCACACATTATGGATGCCGGTATGATTTATTTACTTCATTTGATTTCGATTAATGTATGGTTGATAATGTATATACTAACTGTATACTTTTTTATTATGATTAATAATAAATGTTCCTGATTGACAGGTTTAATACTGTAGAAAAGTTTAAACCTCATGAGGTCACCCATTATTGGGCAACATTGGACACACTCTGTAGAGATGAGGTTAGGTGTTGGATACTTACGATGTTGTTATTTCTCTATGGGTTTATTTTTTTTTGTAACTCTATATATTGTTTCGCTTTTTTTTTTTAGGTGGTTTGGCAGCCATATATTGATTATGAGTGGCTTGACGTGACTCTAGAGCAGCAGTACCTGTGGCTTGCTGCCACACTTATTATCTACTTCCACATAG